AACTGGAGGCAAATCAGGCTACTCTGTACAGATGCCAAAGTTTGAGAATCAGTGCCTATCTGTTACTATTTGCTGAGTGAGTTCATGGAGGCAGTTTAGCAGCACCAGCTAGGTAACACCCCCTCTATATTCTGGGAGACACAACAGATGAGACTTCTGATCTCCACTGACTGGCCTTCCAGGGTGTAGAAGAGAATATTACAGTAAGAGAGAAGCTACCGTGGGCTGCTAGAGCTCAGTGGATTGGAACACCTGGCAAGGAGCTGGGAGTTTGAATCCCCTCTGTGGCTCCTGGGAGGAGGCCCCCCTGAGATAATCCAGAGCATGTGTGGATGACAGAGTTACATGCCCTGACACCTGTGAGGCCTTGAGTTATGTGCCCTGACACCTGTGAGGCTTTGAGCAAGCTATCCTGTCCTGGAGTGCCACCAGGAGGAGAGATGGGGAAAACATTTCTGAAACCTTTATACCAAACGAAACCCTGGGAGAGTTGCTGTAAGTCAGAACTGACTTGTTGGCAGATGCCTATTCTAACTGAGTGGACCTTGACATTTAAAAAAAAAAGATGGGAGAGTGACCTGGCCGGTTGCTGTTTGTGTTAAGCAGATGAACTGGGAGGGCTACAGGCTTCTAATCAGCCTAAGATTGCAAATAAACGACAATTCAGGGCCAATCTTAGTCCTTAGTCCAATGCTCTTTGCTGACCTCTTTCATAGGTTTCTCTAGAAGGAAGTTAACACTGAACAACACGGCTGACCTCAGAGTTAAAAATAAATGAACAAGATTGCACTGTTAGTTGGCTTTAGAAATGAATATACAAATGCATGCATGATAAATCTATCAGTTATCATGTCTTCTAAACATAAGGTCAATCTATAGAATCAGCCAACAGATGCTGCCAGGTTTAACTGTTCGCTTTCTGACTATGCTTCTGTTCGGCCACTTCTGTTTTCACACTAGCAGATAGCGACACACCTCCTGTATATTTAACCCCTTGCCAGTTCTGGCTAAAAACAATACTGAATTTACAGAAAAATTTGAGGCTGAATCCAAATATCAATGAATCTGCATCCTGACATGACTGTACAAGGATGTAACATTGTGTATAAGTGTGTTCTATTTTTAAACACAATTCAGCTCATCTCTTGTGTTTTAATCTCATGGGACGGTTATGAGCTAGTAATTCCATAACTTTTGTGATTTCACAGAGAAATGCTAATAAATACTTTAGCCTGTGGGACCCAAGTTTATGTGGACTCCCACTGGAGGCAAACCTAGTTCTGCTACCCCCATTACGATGGTTTGTGTGTTGTTGCCATGGAAGCAAAAATACTCTGGATTCTTCATAGTACCCAATTCCCTATGCAGTTCATATTATCATGTGCCTGTAGGATGTAAGGTGTAAAATTGCCAGAAGAGTTTTTAAAAACACACACATTAAAATTAGACTTATGAGAGCAAGGCCTATTTCAACATCAGATAGAACTGGCAATTAATCTTTCAGACTTAGCTCCCCATATATAAAAATGGGATCTTGTTTCACAGAGTTGTTAAGGAAGAAATGAGATAAATTTTTATTTATTTGCTTGGAATTAGTCATTTAAAATGAATTCAACACTTCAAATAAGGAGCTGGAAAATTATAGCTTAGATGTTTGCATTTGTACGGGAGAAACAAGGCAAACGGTGTTATGCAATATAATAAGTAACAATAGCAATATGTGTTCGCATTGAAGAGTAAGGTTTGGGATCTTGTCTCACGTTCAGGGCTGCAGGTAGCAAGAACAAATACGTGTTTTAGTGCAAAATACTGTTCTTCATGCAGAAGGGTGTGTGTGATTTTTAAAAATATTTGTTGCTATTAATATGCGGTTTAAGAGATTGTGCTCTCCTTTGGAAATCTGAGCCCTTAGTCTCAGTTCATGACAAAAATTTAGAAAGAATAAAAGAAAGCTGATGCTGACTGATTGCCTTCTAATAGGAATGGCTGCTTAGTTTGACAAAGTCTTAGTTTAGATGACTTTCTCCTCATAGCAGTGTAAATTGGATCAGTTTCTGTGTAAAATTACACGCAGATAAACAATCACAGTGATTGTTATCCACTCTTAGCTCGCTCATGGAACTGTAGTCATAAACAGAAGGGCATAAACAACTGTTAGTTGGTGGAATTTTGGCTGGGATTCAGCTATTGAGACTGTGATTTCAGTACTGTATTAAATTCTTCTGCTGAGCAATCTTCTCAGATTGATTTGGGAGTTACTATTTTTACAAGATTTTATGGCTGATACAGATGATAAAACAAACTCCTATTAAATGGAAAATATAAATTAGAGAAAGAAGTTTGCAGGTTCTTAGACCCAATCATAACACTCACCAGGATGTGCCATGGAGACTGTGTTATTCCCACGCTTAGCATAGTTGTAGATGACAACAGCTTCTGCACCATGTTCAGCTGCGCGATTAATCTTCTCGGTAAAAGTGCAGTTGCCTCTTGCGATCAGTGCAATCCATGGTGACGCAGTGGTGGGGAACTCAGTGTTCCAAGTGCAAGCTTGGTGGTTTGTGGAGTTGGGAGCAACTACGAATCCTTTGGCATAAGCCACTGGAGAGTGTACCCCATACAGGCCGCATTCACACCGGTCACTCTCTGTGGTATTGTTCAAAGCGTTGAAATAAAATAAGCTGACATTAGCCTTGATCGGAACAGCCTGCATAGCTCTCCATAATCCAGTGAGAATCAGGAGGCAGATGGACCTGGATTCTCTCCCCCAATTCATTGTTTGGTCATATAACCATAACCTTCAAAGGCACAGATACTTTCAAACGCTGTTGGTTTGCTGCTTCTGTAAGTGGTCTGAAATTTCAGTCCCAGGCAGGTAAGGAACACCACTCCTCCCAGCTTCATTAGATCTTGTGTTGCATCAGCTCCATTTCAGCTGACTTATCCCGAGGGAATAAAAACTGCCTGATGGTAGACACACAGTACAAGAAACACATGCCTGTAACCTTCACCCTGTTTACTGTTGACTCTGCACTACCACACCTTTAGTTGTGGCTGCTATGTAACAGCTGTGCAAATTTTGTTGACTAAAGGTTTTAATGATGTTATAAAACCCCTCCCAGTCTCTGCTCTAAACAAAACAGAATGTCTGTTTTTTTAAAGGAAAAAAAAATCAGAAAAGCATGATCAGGGGGGCGTAGGGGGGCACTGATGTGCAGACCTACAGATTATGTAGGACTGGAGCTCCAATCATCCCTAGACAGGTTGGTCAATGGGAAGAAAAGCTGTGAACCTCAGGCCAACATGTACAGGCCCACACTTTGCCCACGAAAGTTGCTCCAACCAGAAGGGAAAAAAAACAATGACCGTTTTAGGGACGGAGAAAAGGGCAGATTATAAAGGAGAGAAAATATTCTGAACAAAACTAGGAAGGTTTATTGGTTTGCAATGATAAACCAGGTAGATGTATCTTAGATTAAAATTTCTTACAACCAAGTCTCCTATTTTTCCCCAGAGCAGAAAAGTTACATTTCAGTTCCCTTTGGGCTCTCAGTCTTTATGCAAGACCAAGAGCCTGTCTGCGTTAATATATAGCATAGCATGTCCTTTCTCCCAGAAACCATTTGTTCTGTGATATCTTTTGCCAATCCTCTTAAATCCACATCAGAATGGAAACAAGCTACCTAATAGCATTTAAACAATTTGCTTCATTACTATGGCTTTGCTTCTTCCTCTTTTGGTTGCCACCCTGCTTTGCCCAAGTGCCCTTCCTTAACTGCAACAGTCAAAGATGCACTAACCCCATCCCCTTCACCAAATCTTTCCTGCATGGCAATTTTATCACTCTCTCCTATCATGGGAGAGTGCTCCCCCCCACTCAAAGCTAGACTCAGTGGGCAAAGAGCAACATGTACTGTATACGGCTTGGAGCTCTCCTTTCGTACATACACATCAGTTGTTTCTAGTCCCCAAGCAACTACCACATACCACAAGACTCATGCCCTAAAGCACTACTAAAGAAAAGTTTAAGTAAATCCCACATTTGTTTTTGCTTTTTAATTGCAACCTCCATACTGTACAGCCTCTCATGCGATAAATGTTTGCAAAATAATTCCAACACATACCATATACTGTACTGTATATCCCTTCTGCACATCAGTCTGGAAATCCAACCACTCACAATGCAATTAAATCCCAGTGTCAGTGTTAAGGTCAGCTGCATCTTACATTCTGAAAATGTAAGAGCTTAGAGAGGAAAACACACGTAAGTGAGCTGAAGCATGCAGTTGGCATTGTTGTTTTATCTCATGTACAGTGGGGTCTTGACTTGAGAACTTAATCCGTATTGGAGGGCGGTTCTCAAGTCAAAAAGTCTGTAGGTCAAGTCTCCATTGGCCTACAGTGCACTGAAAACCGATTAATCCCGTAACAGACCGTTTTTGTTCCATTTTGGTTTTTTTCTGGTCTGTAAGTCAATTCTCAGGCTGCAAGTCAAACCTAAATTTTGCGGCCAGAGAAGTCTGTAACTCAAAAAGTCTGTAAGTCAAGCCATCTGTAAGTCAAGGGTCCACTGTAGTATGTTTAGGGGGGGTGTATGTGCAAGAAATGAGCCATTCTATATCAGAGGCTGAGGAATATGGCACTCAGATTTCGGTGGGATGTGTCTCCCATCAGTCATCATGACTGATTATGCTGTCCACCTGAGAGTTGCAGTCCAATAACAATCATGAAGAACCATATTCTTCTCCTCACCCCCTTTTTACAGGCTTAGATCCACTCAAAACACAACAGTCTTGGGTGACCAGCTCCTGTAGTTCTCTAAGCTGGCCATTTTATTGCCCCAAGTCTTCTTCAGTCTCAAAAGCTGGCTTGTGCTTCAATTTGTCCACTTTCATCAGAGATGAGGCAACATCTGTTAAGCAGCATAAGCCTTGTATAAATTTCTTTTTAAAGAAAAGCCTTGTTTCACCAGCACAAAACTGAGTCAATTGGTTTTTTTATTAAAGTACAGGGCGAAAAAACCTCTACACATTCCAAAATATCACATTACCGAAAATGTACAATTCTGAATATTTACAATATCAAAAAAAACACAACAAAATATCAATAAATTATTTTCATATCAATAGTGTACTGCAACAAAAGATGCAAAAAGACTACTCAGAGCCAATAATTAGGCTAAATTAAAATGTGCACTCACTCTTTTCCAACTCTGTTACACATATTCAACCCTATTGCATCGCACCTGTTTGAGGCCCCTTCTCAAAGCAGATGTGGGGATCTTTCACACCCTCAAATTACCAGTTCTGTATCAATGGCAGCTCCATTTTAGATCCATTTTTACATGAACCCAAAATATGCTTTCTCAAGGAACGATGTTCTGTTCCAACTTCACCATCTTGGGACACAGCAAGATTAACAAACAAGCACACCGCCTGACCATATAATCATGATTTGGCACAGCAAACATTAAGTGCTGGAGAAGACCAAAGGCACAATCCTCTCAAGGTAGTGCCTTTGCCTGTGGGGAGGGATAAGTAATCACCTTGGGACAGAAGTAGCTCTCCCTATCCACTTTTTTCCTGTGTTGTTAGTGAATGAAATAATGGAACTTTCTGACAAGCCTATGCTTTACCTTAGTTATAGATGCAGAAAAAATAGCTTCCTTTATTTAGATTATTCACTATGATCAAGGTTGGGAAACCAACAAGAAGTAGATGCCTAGCAATCAGGTATCAAAAGGTAAAAGCCAAATTTCAATTCCATCCACTCACAGGGTTTCCTTTCCAACAACATGGAGCAGGATTTAAGCATTTAAATGGAAATATTTGCCACTTTGACCTTAACAATAAAGGTTGAGGAGCAATACCAGGAGAACCCAACATGCAAAGAGTAATATTGGGGCGGAACACGCCCCAATGTATTCCCATACAGAAGTGTGCTCTCAGAAACCTTCTTTTACAACATTATTACTAAATATCCAAATTCTCTCTCTTTTGGAACAATGGCAGGACAGAATGCTGTTACGTTTAACAAAACAAATGGCTTGTCTTTGATACACTATATTTGCTTTGTTACATCAGCATCTGTTATTTTATACACTTTGTTAAGAAAAACTTCATTTTTATCTTCACTCAATGAGCATATATCCAGGATACAGATGACATGCTGTTTCTCCAGGTTAGCAGCTGCTTTAACAACTTCATCTTCTGTGCAAACACAGATAATGAAATCAGTATTAAAATGTTTAACAGGACTTCTGATACGTTCAGGAAAAACATCAGTGTTAATAAGTTACTTTTTCAGTCGGCCATACTTCCCCAATGAGTGTAATCTAGAGTGAGAAAAGGGTGAAAGTTGTTCTACGCCTGCTGCGCTAATAATAAAAAGTCTTTTCACAGAAAATCTGACCTCCATGCCTGCTTCTGGGGGGAAAATGGTTCTACCCTCCATCCAGACCAAGAGTGAATTTAAGCACATTTTTTAAAACTGAAGACAATTTTTGTTGTATTAATAGGAAAACAACACTATATTTGGGAATTCTTAGTTCTAGAAAATATCTACGAAACCCAGAAGGAAGAAAAATGCCCAGCAAAATCAACATTTCCTATTTAAATTTATTATAACAAATAATACTTTTTAAAAAAACCACTTAAAATTTCCAGTTTTTTTTTAGAACTTGGTATGACCCATAAGGAGCCCCCAATAGAAGTTTAATTTTCCCATTTCTGAACATAAAAATATAACATGACAAAATGATTTGCACAACTAAGGTTTTTGTTGTTATTTAAACTTTGTTTCTTGAGAGACTGGCAATTCTTTTGCCTGCCATAAGGGATGTTAGCACTAATAAGCATTTATAATTTGCAATCATCTATTAGGTTGTGGCCAAATATTCTAAACCAGTCCACTTTGCAGACACCACTATACAGCATGCTCTCTTAAGCTTGTGGGCATTTTGCTGCAATTTTTACAGCTGCAAGATAGACAGAAAAAGAAAAGTCTCTGAAAGTTTGTATTTGCCCATAGTAGTGCCACCTCTTCAGGGCGGCTATGTATTAATTCATTTAGACATTCATCAATTTAAAACAGTGCACTGCTCAACATTGTAATGAGGACTGAAGAAACATACCGGGTAACAGAACTCTCATCTGGCTTAAAATAAAATTGTTCAGAAGGCAAATCTACAGTAATTGTGAACCACTAATACCACTCACCATCATTCTCCAGAAGCTCCTACCTGAAAGTGAAAATACCTCAGAATGCCCTTCCTTGCCAGTGCTCTTCTGGGGATCCGAGTTGCCACTAGGATGAGAAAGCGCTCCACAACTTGGTAGGCCCGCTCGAAATAAATGGGAATCTTCAGGACAGCACATAGACAGGAATGCAACATCTATGGCTATGTCATGATTTATGCCTGTACAAAAGAGTTACCTTTTATTACTACCAGCTAATTTAGTAAACTGCTCAGTTGTTTTCATTCAGACTTTTAAAAGTAAAAGTAGCTTTAACTCAAGCTTAAAGCTTGAGTTTATGTTGTTTGAAACAAGAATGTTCCTCATCCAATTACTCAGGTTTACCTTCTGCTGTTACTCTTGGTCAGATGGCCCTTCAAAGGCGTAGCAGCGTAACATAAAGCACCCCAGCTGAATTGCTTTTTGAGACCTATATCACTGAGTCCCCAACTTCAACATGAAGTATCCCATGCTAAGGTTGCTCTGACAATTATATTCACCTTCTGTGAACATTTCTAGAAAAGTTCCACAGCATTTACAATAAATGTAGGGTTAAATTCATTTTTATCTGTTTGAATTGAACAGTTCAATTACTGGTAGAGCTAACTATAGGGACTGAGAGTTGGGAGCCCTACTGTGTCTGTTCCAGCAGACAGAACTGGTACAATGTCTGATTGCCACTGCATGACAATCCAAGGTATACAAGACATCAGCACAATAAAGGAAGGAAAGAAGTTACAGCTGGTTGGTACAGTTTGATTGGTTAGAGTACCCCAGCCTTCAAATCCCCACTATGGGTCTCAGAAGAGGGGCCAGGTGTGATCATATGGTGAGTGAATCTGGCTGACAAGGCCATGCGTTCTGCCACCTACACAAGCTACACAATTCCAGGGTGTCATGGCTGAACAGATGAAGACCTCACTGAACACAACCAGGTCTCTAAGTGTTCCTTATGATATGCCTTCTGATACATTTCCCATATTCTTGAAGAACCAAAGTACTCTAAATTGCATAATGCCAGTGCTGCATAAACTGATAATACTACTGTACATACACAAAGCCCAAAGACCTGACCATTGCATAAAGAACAACATTACGTTGGTCTTTCATGTGAAAGCATCAAAAATTATTTATCTCAAATGTTTTGTTGTCTCAAAAATATTCACCCTACTGTTGTTTCGCATTTGGGTCATCTTTCCTGGGTATAATTGCATGTATCCTTGTTCAGTTTCATTCCTTTCCCCATTTGTGTCCAGTTCTGCAGTTTGCAATAATATCAATACCATTTTGAAAAATGTATCTCAGTAAATCAACAGATTAATGAATAGCTGATTTCTTTGTAAATGCAAAGGGCATTAATTATGTAGTCAAACAATGAGTCGGTAAGGATGGGAGGTACTGTGACTGGGTTCCAAAGAATTACAGCAGGTAAGCCCCAGGACCTGTGCATAATCTATCTTTTCTCTCTCACACATTATCAGATCATCATTTCACACTGTAAATTACTTTTGAAAATCTCTCCTGTTGTTATGTGGCTTGCTTATCATACAAGCATGGAAGAGTTGCTGTTTGAAAAATAGTGCCCCCAAACTCTTCCTGAGTGTAATATGTGACCACTTATTCCTTGGTGAGGAAGGGCTTTTAACTGATGAATGCTGCACTTTTGTTTCATTGGTGTGTTTTAAAATTGTAATTACAATTTAATGCTTTTATTTGTCTTCTGTTATTTATACTCTTTTAACTCACATCTGTGGGACAAAGATGGAATCCTGGGAGAAGAAGTAGCTTCTGTGGATCCTAGCCTATATTCTTCAGTTGCTTAACAAATCCACTACTTTTATTCACAACCTGTAAGCACTGGGTAGCACTTGTTCTTCTGTTAACATCCAGACTCAAAATGTTCACCTATCACAACTGTATGTAAGTCTGCCTTTGTAAAGGCTTATGGCCAGAAACAATGAAGATACAATGTGTGTGAATTCTGCCTTGGAAATGTGACAGTTTCTTACCGAGAATAGCCACTTCATAGTATTCAAGAGGACAGGCATTTTCAAAGTTATTCACTTCTCCATTCATAACACGGTCTGCTGGTTTGCATCTGGCTGCCTGAAGATTGCATTGTTGCATAAGGAATTCTTTGTGTATGTAATTAAATTTAGAAGGAAAGCTTTCTGGGAAAATGCTGCTGTAGTTCAAATGTTGTGTTAAATTGTCTTTTACTGCTGCCCAGAGATCGCTTTCCCAGGAATTATGGCACATCCTCTCTGCCTGAACTCTTTCAGACACATCAGCTGTTTTTTTGTTACCTGTTAATATAAAGATAGTAAATACATCATTAATCGCCTGTTAACAAGAGTCTCAACACTCATTGTCATTTTCAATACGAGCACTTCCTAGAATTTCTATTCTGCTTGGGAAAACAGAAAAACTTTGTCATACGGACCAACAAACCAGAAAAAAAATAACTATCCTTTTTTAGCATGTAAAACCAGAGTTCCCGCCCTCTGTGAAACACCTGGAAAGACACAAATGCATTACTCTCTGTCAGGCTACTGATGCAATTAAGTAATTCAAGTCACGCCCATTTAATTGGACTAACGATGAAAAGTTCCATGCCTAGGGCACTATCATCATTGGTAAACAATTCTGCTATATGTCTTGCAAGAAAGCTTTCATCCAAGTAGTGCTACTGCACTTAGAATTTGCACTGCGCTGCTATGCTGTACAAAAAACTACACTTTACCTAGATCTGTAACATATAAGCAAGCATGAAAGATGAGGAGGACTTGTTTTCTACTCTAATGCCTGGGTAAGGACCTGGCAATGCTTCTGCTAATTTAAAAATTAGTTTTCAAGAACTAAGGGATTTACTTGTATGTAGCTGTGCTGCTTCCTCCACATCTTGGCTTTCTTTTCTTGTACATGGGTTTTCTTGCAAAGGATTATGCAACCTACAAAAACTGAAGAACATTATTCTGAGGGTGACAAAACTATTTGACCATGACATCAACAATCACAAATGTGTATAAGCAGAGTTCTCAGAATACAGCTCCCTCCCTCCACAAAGAACAGAAATTGTCCTTAATGTTCTGGGGCCAGAGAAACAAAGGAGACAATAGCCTCTTTTTCTTTATTTCCAAACAGTTGTGCTGTGATAAATGCTCACCTGATGGAATAAATAGCACTTGGATTGGGAAATAGACCTTTGACTGAATCTTTAATTCAACCTGTGCTTAAACTGAGATTAACTAGGCTATGGAAAAAAATACAGTCTCTTGTAGTGCTAACAGTAGATTTTGTGAGATTTGTGAATTTGGAGGAAGAAAGAATGAAGACTTCTCTCCAAGCTCCTCCGCCTTACCATTTAAAGGCATGCACAACTCTGAAATAATATTCATTCATTCATTCATTCAAACTATTTTTTGCCCCACCTTTCCCCTAATATGACAGGAAAACGGCACCGGGGGAGAACGTTTAGCTGATCTTCCTGCCCCAATTTCTGCAACCTAATCCCTCCTCTCAATTGCTGATACCATTAACTGAAGAGTTCAACAAGATGATAGCAGCTCTGACTGGAGAACAGACCTAACACTTCTGCCCTGAGATACAAGAACAGGAAGAATGCTCCTAAATTTGTGTAATCTGTATACTTTATACGTAATGCACACTCTTTTTCAAGAACTATTGTCAACACAAGCACCTCTATAAAGAATCAGATAAAAATACTGCTAAAATTCCTATTTATAGGAACAACAGGTGATCCTGGAAATAAAGGAAACTTCCACCTTCTCTTAGGTTTTATAGTAGAACCCGGGAGATTTGTTCAATGATCGACTGTGAATGCCTCAAATCATGAACAGTAATGAAACCTATATATAACATACAAGGAAGTGGGACAAAGGCCACATGGACCGCCCCTTGTTTGTTGTATATAGAGCTGCAGTAAACCACAGAGAACAGAAATCATGGATCCCAATCTCGCACAAAAAGTGATCCTACTCTATAGGTAAGTCTAGCCTGTCAATACCTTCTTGCTTCTCATTGAGAGCGTGGCAGGAAATTAAACTGTTCAGGTCAGGCTCTATCATATGGCAGGTCTCTATTATTAGCTTCTATTTTCACAATGTGAACTACAATCTAGCATGCCTGTTTTTGCTGTTTTAACATGTAAAGCTTAATTTGCTAAAATGATACTGAAATTCAATAATAAAACCAATAATTTCAGCTAAACACATTGTACCTTCATGAAACAACTGGGTAAACATTATGTTAAATGACAGATCGTATTAAGATGAATTACTTTTCACATTCTTTAATCCATTCCCATTATAGAAACACAATGTGGTGTTTGAAGTTTCCAAAACACTTAAGTCACAGTCACCGATTCATGTGCAGTTTCTCTGGAAAGAATGTCGATGCAATTCTACTTCCCAGCCCTTGTCTTGACCTCATGTCTTTTCCTAGAGCTCATTAAATAATGTTAATTAGTATCACTGAACCCATAACAGAGATCTATCCTTTAATACTTATGTTCATATGCCTAGCAGCTTGATCATTTCATGGCTCCTAGGCATGCATACAGAAACAGTACTATCATCACAACTGAAGAGGTTAACAAAGAAAGAATCATCATTGTCGTGGACAGAAAATAGATTCTACATGTCCTGAGGTGAAACATTGATATCACTACATAGGAGGCTGACAGGCAAATGTTTACATACAAGTCTTTAAAATACTTTTTAGAGACTCATACAGTGGTGCCCCGCATAGCGAGGTTAATCCGTTCCGGATTAACCCTCGCTATGCGGAATCGTCGCTAAACGGGTAGGGAAAACGTATTGAAACGCATTAAACTTAGTTTAATGCGTTCCAATACCTTGCTTACTTATCCGTTCAGCGAGGATTCCCCTTGCCGGCAGCCATGAAAACGCCGCAATAACCGATCTTCGCAATGCGGGTTTTCCCCATTGCGAAGATCGGGTATGTTTCCGTATAGCGATCCCGAAAAAGGGATCGCTATACGGAAACATCGCTATACGGTGCACTCGCTAAGCGAGGCACCACTGTATCTTCAAATTCTACTAAAAACACTAGAAGGAATCAGATGAAGGGACTTCCTGCAGACTTGTAGAACAGAGTACAGAGAAATGCCAGAAGCACTGAACAGACTATATCTATCCCTCCAAAATATACGGACTAGCAAAGCTGGGCATGGCCCAGCTTCAAGTACTGGCACTACTGCAAAGCAGAGATATCACCTTGCCAACAAAGGTACACATGGTCAAAGCTATGGTTTTTCCAGTAGCGATGTATGGAAGTGAGAGCTGGACCATAAAGAAGGCTGACCGCCGAAGAATTGATGCTTTTGAATTGTGGTGCTGGAAGAGGCTCTTGAGAGTCCCCTGGGCTGCAAAGAGAACAAACCTATCCATTTTGAAGGAAATCAACCCGGAGTGCTCACTGGAAGGACAGGTCCTGAAGCTGAGGCTCCCATACTTTGGCCATCTCATGAGAAGAGAAGACTCCTTGGAAAAGACCCTGATGTTGGGAAAGTGTGAAGGCAAGAGGAGAAGGGGACGACAGAGGATGAGGTGGCTGGACAGTGTCATTGAAGCGACAAACATGAATTTGACCAAACTCTGGGAGGCAGTGGAAGACAGGAGGGCCTGGCTCAATGGGGTCACGAAGAGTCAGACAACAAAAGGTTGCAAAGACATGTAAGGTGAAAACGGCCTTTTAAAAAATTATTTGGAAAGGACCAATCAAAAAATTCTCCAAAGAGAAGAGCAAAAGCATATTGGAAGTTTCCTCATCTCTTTAGATTTGAAGACAAATTCTTTAATTTTTGTACTTAGCACTGAAAAATACCCAACACAATAAAACTATCACTGAGAATTTGCCACTCACAATATTTTCTTGCCTGCTGATCTTGTGAAGTATAAACGTTGAGAAGGTATCAGAGGAGTGCTTCTTGTCCTTTAACAAAAGTAGAAAATCTGTATTAATTTATTTAGCAAGCAGTGTTGATCTCCAAATAAAACTCTGAACTTCCTGAATGGGATGTGCAGAACTCTGAATAGATTATTAAGCACTGTTGTAAGATCTAAGGACAATTTAGGGGAACTGGGATATTCAACAGCTGGAGTAACAATGTGGAGAAAACTAACCCAGACAACACGTGCATCAGAGTTCAATATGCCCAGCAATGTGTGGAAGAAATTACTCACAAGCAAAAGATAATGTGGCTGATGTAGCACCATTCGGTCCAAATTTATATAATTTATTTCTTTTAATATCTAAGTAATCATCTATTGTTGCATTTTATATGTATCCTTGATTAATGCTTTTAATGTTTTTTCAATGTTTTACAAGTGAATATTAATAAATCCTACTGTATTAAAAAATCCAACCAGAAATATATACATACATAGTACTTTGGTATTTTAAACTAACTGCATTACGACAGTAAGTGATGGCAGTGTTGAATCCTATCACATCATTGATGGGGCAGAGTGCCACTGCGAAGACGAGAGACACTCTGCTTGTTCATGTGTGGGGACTTAATCCACAAGGGTTAAAGGATTTAAAGAAGCCCACAGAAATTCATGGAACAGATCTGAACAATCATGCCTAATTATAATATTTATTACTGCTTTACTTGCATCAAATCATAATTTTGGTTTTTACTTGCATGAAAACAATTTTATAGCACAATAGGAGCAAGGTACAACATTAACTGAAATACAGTGGTGCCTCACTTAACGATTACCTCGTTAAACAATGAAACCGCTTGACAATGAAGTTTTTGTGATAGCAAAAACCGCTTAATTTATTTTAGCAAGGTTATTCTGATCACCTATCTTTCTCTATCAGCTACTGCTAATACAAATGTGATTTCTATTGCTAATGAAAAAAGATAACCTAAACTTTGGGCATTGCCTGATTCAAAACTCTTGTGCAATGTATTTGTAAAGTAAATAGTTCATATTTCATAGGTACCTTATTTGCTCCGAGAGGAGTCAGCAGAGGCAGTATTGTGACCTAAGATATACAAATGCCTATAAAAACAGAGAAGGGCAAATGGAATCTGTTCCACTTTGTGGAAACCACTTACTCCACATCTGCAATCTTTCTCTTTGCATGACCTCTTCTGGTCTCTCTGTGTTGCTGCTGCACAGAGGACGGTGACTTTTGCACTGAAGTTGCTTCTCTGGCTTGCCGATACTTTCTACTTCTCACTTTAATGGGGTCATTTTCTTCCACACTAGTCTGTAACTCTGATGATCTGTCCATCTGTAAGGATTAAATAATGGCCAAAAATTGCCTTAGGAAAAATAATTCCTTAGAAAATCCCGCACTACAAAACAGAAGGAGGGGTCTATGGAGAATTCACTTTCTTACAACTATGGCCTACATATTTTGAGTTCTCTTAAAATACTTGATCACCAATTTTTAGTCTTTTAATATTTCTGCCGCTTAAATGACTCACTCTATAATTACAGTTTTAAATACATCAAGACAAAAATATCAGGCCTCTTTAAAAACACCACCAATGAACACGAAGTCATTAAAACTTTTTTAGGTTTTTAAAGTACGACTTTCAAGCTCCACTTGTTCTGAAGGCAAGAAATACAAATTGTTAATCAAGAGACATTGTCTGCGGGTTCTCTGAATTCAAATGCTGAAGATCTCAATTGTAATTATGATCATAGTATCGTAAGTACTATACTATTAATTCTCAAGCACCATACCTGCGTTAGTTCCCCTCCTGAGGCATCTTGAGATGTACTGCTACAGCTGACATATCTTATAGCACTAATTATCCCCTGAAAAGCAATGCGCTTGTGCTCCCTGTAGTGCAGGCTTTCAATCTCCTTCTCCATTTCATTGATGGTTGTCAAAATCGATTCAACTGCAAACAGCAATCGCATGAAACTTAGTTTTAAAGAAGCAATACTACCAAAAAATATGAATATGGGAGTCATAAGATAAATAACTTAATGCTCAGTTGTTTTTCCAATGGCACATAAAAAAAACTGAAGAATTCTTATTTGCAAAAACATATGAGAAAAGCAGACTTTCCAATAGATTGAAGTAAATGCAAATAGGACTGTGTAGTTGTTTTGGTAAAACGTTCACCACCAAAGTTCCTTTGCTTTTATAAGATACCCTCAGACCAACTGTGACTGCTCTGTGCTACCTTGAAAGCCACATCTAGATATGATTAGTATTCAAAAGCATTCTCTGTCCTTGCAGTTACACTGTGATGTTTACATAAATGATATGACCTACTGCCAATTTAAGTCAAAGTCAGAAATAAAGCCACAATCCAGTTTGCAGTAGCATCAATCAGCTTCTGACAATCCTTCAAAAGTCAAATGGTTAAGTCAGTCACAGGGACTGAGGAATAGGTAGAATAAAACCACTGCTGTAACATCCAGGCCATGGCTTAAATGTAAATGTTCAACTTCTACCTGAATAATGAAGAGTTGCCAAGAAATGTCTACTTTCCTAGTATGACTGTTATGAGAATGATGGAAGGTGAAACAAAGTGAAACACAGTACCTTTAATTTTTTTACAGTACTTCAAAAATGTGTCTGGAACTGGAGGGAAAGGATAATATCCTCCCATAGTGGCCTTCTCCTGACATGAAGCTTCCTTCTGAGTTTTAATCCACTGGATAAACCTTTTCACTTTGCTGTCTTTTGTGTATGGCTGTCCTTTGTGCCACCCTGTCACGAAAAATAAAAACACTATCTGAGGTATAACAAACGGAATTAAAAAATTAAAGCAGTAACTTTTAAAAGTGGCTGTGCTAGATTGTTAGTAATCAGTTCAATGCTGATATAACCTGTTCTCATTGTCAGGTGATTCTATGAAAGATACAGTGGAATTAGTAAATTAATGATGGCACTGGAATGGTTTCAGTAGATAAATGTGGGGAGATAAAGAACTGCAACTTCTAACCTCCACCTACATGAGGTCCAATTATAATCGTGTACTTTCTTAGAGATGTACTTTCATCTCTCTTCTGTACTCCTGGTCCAATCTCTAAGACTCTTCAGGTACATGCAATGCCAGCCCAAATCCAATTCACAGAATCCTAGGGCTGTGGTGGTACATTAAGAAACCATTACTATGTAACATTAGAGATTTTAATATATTTTTGGATAAACTCTGGAAATGGCTAGTATTAAAGCAGGTCCTAGCAACAGATTGCTGGTGCTGAACAGGAATTAACAAGGTTGACAGTTCTGAGAAACACAAAAAGTGAAGCCTAACCAAGTGGGAGCATTACAGCTGCTTGTGATTAATCCTATCTGTTCAGTTTCTGTTGTGGAGAGGAACTGCAAATACTGAATTATAATTCATTGAGTGGATGGTTAGAAGCTCATAGGTCTGTTTTGAAGATACTAAAAGAAACAAGCAGAAAGCTAGTTATACAGAGTGGAAAGTGCTTGTTATGATTAATACTGATTAGTTATGAAGTGACTGATTTTTGAGAATAAAGTTACCTGTAATAAACATCTGACTTTCATTAGATGTCGTCAGATAAACTGTAGAGGAACCATTCTCAGCAGTATCTCGTATCACTCTCAACTGTGTACATACCAAATATGTCACTGGAGATGGAAAGAGAGTGCCGTAATTTTTTTGTAAAGTTTATTCAATTATATTATTTCACACAGATCCTCTATGTTGCTTATATGTGCTCAAGAATAAAAGAATACAATTCTATGAGCTCTGATTAAAATAAACTCTTTTTTAAAATAAAAGCTATCAATCACAGAAAAAATATTCACTATTATCACTTGCACTATCTAGAATTCATGGTTCAAACTCACTAACGTCATTATTCTTCCTAAAATTTCTCAAGTATTCAGAAAACTGGTTGACTCAGGTCTTGTACTTACAAACAGCAGATTAAGAGATAAATGTGTCCCTGGCTACACTATGTCAGATTGCAGGCAAGGTCTAACATGATCTGGTGTCTTCCCAATACTCAGAAATATTAACATAGAAAATTAAAAGTCAAAGAACATCATTCAAGCCTAACTATCTCAATGACACAAGACTTTTTGATGCATAAGAATTTTTTCCAGAGAAGGAACATTCTAACATGCGGACTTATTTTACAAAGCACAGAGCAGATACAGTGGGAACAAACATAGGACTAGACGGACCCTCTTGGACCATCCTAGTGCAGACCTTGCTCTTTTAAGGCTATGAATTTTAGATTACCCAATGAGCATGTGGTGGGGGCTGAATTACATGATACAGTTCACCAATTAGGATATTCATGAGCAAATAAACTTGTCTACACTGCCATGTGTAAGAAAGGTATACGTATTTATTTTGCTGTAACTGTAATTTTAAATTATGGGAGACTGGAAGAGATGAATCCCTGGGTTCCTCGCAGTTCCTTATTTCTACTATTCATACAGGAAAATCAGAAGCTGCTTCATGTGTCTTAATCATTCCCAAAGTCTTTGAAATGTAAAGCAGATCTTTTAAATCACTATTAAAATAGGAGGAATATCTTCAAAACAAATACTTGGATGAATTTGTTCAAATATCTCTGGCTGAGAGGTAGCAAACAATTCCAATATGAAAGGCTGGTCCGAGGTCCCATCAAGAACATGCACCCAGCGATGGATCCAAAAATCATCCCCATGGTCTGCAAACACAATAGAAATGCTGCTAAGTGCTTTAAATACATAATTTTGTAACCAAAATATGAGATATTTCAAGCTTACAAAATACCCCTTTTTCTGGTGCGTTCAGTCCTTCCTACATATTGTACCAGTCCAATAATATCACAGGAATAACCATCTGGTAAGCTATCTAATTCTGATCTGAAAGAGATGGAAAAATAGGAGTTGTATAATAAAACAGATCTGATTATTCAACATGAATCCACTGCTTGACCAGACGTATCTACTTATAAACATTTCTCAACATTATCTAGAAAAAATAATGTACTGAGGGCTGTTGAATAATTATTTATTCCTAAAATACAAAAGTTATTTTATTCTCCCCCTTCTCACACTCTATAATGTTGACTTCCATTTTCTATATGGCTATGAAAACAGTATATTAAAATAAAACACAGGGGAAAAAACCTAACCTTGTTATAAACCGATATTTAACTTCAGGTAACTTCCAATCTGCTTTAACTTTATTTTCTGGAATGATGGTTATTTTAGTTGGAGGGTCTCGAACATTCAAAGTGATTTCTAGGGGGGAAAAGACCATGAGAACAATGACATTTCACTTTGCTTGAGATACGGGCTACATGAATAATACCGTCCTGCTTTCATTTATATAAAACAAATGGCTTTATTAAATTTAATTAGCTTTATTGGAACTCTTTTGACAGAACAAATTATAAATCACACAAACAAAATCATGGTACCAGAAGAGCCTTCCTAAAAAGGCTGCGTACCTATTCAGTTGTTTTAACTGTTCTGATAAATACTTTTTATGTTAGGGTCCCTTCCAAGATAATCCAGATCAAAAATATATCACACAATATATTAGAGTGGTGGTAATCATATGCAGATTGAATTGCTAAGGCACACAGAAGATACAAAAATGCTGAAGCAAAAGCTTTAGCTGTGGTTCTTTCTTCTTTCATCTGTTTTTGAGAAACAACCCAATACTGTATCTAGCAATGTTTACACATCTACAGTTATACACCTATGGATTTTTGGGTGAGAGGTGAGTGTATTTGATTACATCAAGCTGCAAGGAGTTATAATAGGCATTTTGTACAGCCAATATTCACTCTACTTCCATATCCCTAGAGATAATGTACCATTACTAGACATAACATACCAGGATAGGTAACATATTTCACTTGCAATGTTACTCTGAAAATAAGAAAACACATCTGTTTATGTGAAAGGAAATGTATATTAACCTATCAGATGTTTTTGTCATGCTACTCTTTTTATTAAGCACTTAAGTAGCTCATACTATACTTGAAAACAATGGATACTCTTTATTAAACTATGAAAAACTTTATACCTTTGAGAAATACGTAATGGGTTATTTTGCACACTGCATGAGCATTTTATTTGTGCCACAGCAAGCCCACTGTTCAGCCTGGAAAGTTCCTGGATTAATTTGCACCTATCATTATTAATTTCATCTGGTCTTTCTCCTCCCCCCACCCCCACTTTTGATTTCTTCCTCTCCCCTTCATAATGTGAACTCTATTAGCACATGTTGAAAGCAGAAAGTTGGTTTCACTCATTTACTGGAAATATGTGTGCTTGCAAAGAGTATCAAATTGACAAACCTATATCTATTACAGAGAGACAATTAAAATCACTGTCAAATTGCTGTTATCATTATCAAAGTTTTCATTTATTGTTCCTTCTATCCTAACAAAACATCTAATTTCTTGCTGATCCATTATATAGAAATGTCAGGTGCTAAGATGTGGTCTTTTAGCAAAACAGTTGTACTCCAACTGTGCCTCTTTAACAGGAAATAATGATATGTTTCAGAAGAAAACATCTATGTCCCAAATTCTGATTTCAGCATGCCTTAATATCAGCATAACGAATGACCAATAGATATGCCATATTCATGCTAGAGATACTCAACCTATTGAGCAGAACCTCTTCATATGCAAATCTCCAGGAGCTGGCTGTGTTTTAAAAGGGTAACTTGTTTTAACAGCATATTGTTCAAGGAGCAGCACTGTGCCAATCTTCATACTCTTATACCACTCAGGGCATAAAGAGTTCCAAAGAACCATTGACATCATACCAGAACGATCAGCCACTTCAAAATAGGCCTAAAAATTAACAACATGTGCCAGAGTTTAGCAACCATATGGAAAAGTGAACTTATTTGTTGCTCGAATGTTGCTCAAATTTTCAAATGTCAGGCTGAACTGTATCTTGCAAGCTGTATCGTGCAAGATGCAGTACAGAAACAGAAGTGATACTGCTTTTTTCTGGAATTTTTATACATATAAGTCAGCAATCCTATACATCTACCTGGTAGTATATCCTCACTGAATTGAGTGAAACTCACTTGTTAATAAATAAGCATAAAAAGCTGGAGTGCTTCCACTGAAATAAATAAAACTGTCTTATGCTTAGGTCTGCAGATTAAGACTTAAAGAATGGAATGGGGGATGGGTGGGAGGCAAAAATGCTTCATAAAATAGAAACAAAGGTGATTACAGTAGATCTTTTCAGAGAAAGGTTATCATATGGCTTAGAAATTAAACAAACATGACTCAAACCTAGCAAATGTCATGCAAGCTCTGGAGTGAAGATAAAATCCAATGCAATGGGGTGGAAGAATTTTTCCAAAGAAAGGAGGCATGCCCCCATTTCTATCTGTTAGTACGTTACTGACAATGACTGCAATGACGAAATAAATAAATAAATAAATAAATAAATAAAAAGAAAGAAAGAACTGCAGGGCTAGAAGGAACCCTATGGATCGAGTCAAGCCCCTGTACAGAAGGCAACAGTGGGGAATCAAACTCCCAACCTAAAACCACTGAGCTATTTCCAAAGCTAGCAAAATAAGAGTAGGACATGCTTATTACACTGTTCGGTTTTCTACTCGGAAAGGCTTTTTTTAAAAAAAAACCTCTAGATCAGGCTTGTCCAACCTGCGGCCCGAGGGCTGCATGCGGCCCAGGTCAGCTCGTAATGCGGCACAGCACAATTTTTTTATTTGTAAAAAAATTCCAAAGTTTCAAGTTACACTGCCGGTGCTTGCGGTTGGAATGTGGCCCGGGCACGTCACAACAGTAGAGGGGGAGAGAGGGAAGGAAGGATTGGGAGGGGAGGGGACAGGGGGGCTGTGTGACTGCATTGCGCCGTCCCCGTCAACACGTGGACCCCCTCCCGGTCCCATAAAGCCACCAGAGTCGAAGCTGGCAGCCTCTGCTGTCTGAGATCGCAGCTGCCGGTAAGCGCGCTTGGAGCGGGGCTGCGGAGGATGGCTAGGGTTGCCCCCCCCCATGCGGCCCAAACCAAATGTATGTGCGGCCCAAGCCAAATTTTCATCTTCTAATGTGGCCCAGGGAAGGTGAAAGGTTGGACACCCCTGCTCTAGATTAACACAAACTACATTGTTATCTCATAGCAGTGCCCGATATATTTTTTTGCAACCACATTGTAAATGTTACATTTGTTCTGGTTAGTTGTGATGGTTTCCTAAAGGAATTATTCAGCACTACAGTACAGTGGGGTCTTGACTTGAGAACTTAATCCGTATTGGAAGGCGGTTCTCAAGTCAAAAAGTTCTCAGGTCAAATCTGCATTTCCCATAGGAATGCATTGAAAACCATTTGATCCGTATCTGCTCTTTTCTGGCCATAGAAACTAATGGGAAGCTGCTATTCTGCCTTCGACCACTAGAGGGGGATATTTTGTTTTTTTCCTTAGGTCAAGAAAGGTTCAGGGAAGGCAGGGAAAATACAGTCCAGGCAGGACAGTACCAGGCAGTCTGAAGACTGTCTCCCAATCCACTCTCTAAACGCTGGGAGGAGTGAGGAAGCAGACAGGCACCCTTTTCACTGGCCAACAGTTAACCGAAAGTTCAAATTTTGCACTTTCCCTGCCTCCCACATGGTTTTTTTTCAATTCTTAACTCAAATCTAAGTATGTAAGTCAAGTCAATATTTTCCTATGAGAGTGGTTCTTAAGTCAAAATGTTCTTAACTCAAGCCGTTCTTAAGTCAAGACCCCACTGTACTGTATTTGTTAACAATTAGACTCAATATACGACACGAAAACTTTAAATCTCCTCCTACTAGAACCCTGGCATCAGAATAGCAGATGTCCTACCTGATATGGTACATTTAGTTTTGTGTCAGGTTTCCCATAGTATCGCAATCTTGCCTTGTGCATTATTCTAACAAGCAAGGGTGGGAAGTTGGTTTTGGTCCTCCAGCTCATGTCCAAGTGAAAAAGTGAAATTAATTTGGATTCTACAAAGACAAGCAGAGACATACCATAAAACTGACAAGTCTGTTTTTATTACCCAAATATTTCTACAACACATGTTGTCAGAGTCCATAGATTCAGTAAGAACCACTGGTCTCAAAACCTGCCACAGCAAGGTAAACTACCTTGATGATTACTACAATGTTGCTTCAAAAGCGAATAACTTTAGTAAACAAATAGCAGATTGTCAGCCCAGTATATATATAACTGGTGCTAATAAACTTTATCAGAACAGGCTCCAACACAGAAAAAAACAGCTTCTCAAGTTGGGGGTTGTTCAGTTTTGTTACACTGAAGACAAATATGAATCATTCTCTCTCATCTCATCTGCATGTCAGGATTCCCTCCTTGATGTTAGCTTGTACCTATATCACAAAAACAAGCTCTTAAAGCAGAAATTTGACTAAGACTCCCCCCTACTTGTACGCAGAATGCCTAGGCATGGATCAGTGTTGACTTAAACTCAGTATTGCTGTGTAAACACCATGTTTGTCAAATCCTGGGTAGATAAAAATGAATGACTTTTAAAAAAAAATCAAATTGATCTGATTTTTAAAAAAATTAAAATCAAATTTTAAATCATTAAAAAACCCAGATTTTTTTAAAATGTAAATTGTTATTTTCAATCCACTTGATGAAAATCAAATCCACCATGACAGACTCTAACAGCGGAGCATACTAAATAATCCTACCCTATACAACATTCTGTTTATTTGGCCTCCCTTGGTTGCCGCAGGGTACACCACTTACCATCGACACACACCTCTTGTGGTAACGGTGTCTGCACCCACATGTCCCCATAGGGATCCTCATTATTCCAAAGAGGGAGATAATGCTGTCTGCGTCCCTTTAGTGGTGCTGTGGTGGGCTTTTTGTTATATTCTCTCCATTCTCGGAGAGCAACCCCTAAATCTTGGAGAGGACCCAGGATTTCCAGTTGCTCAAGGCAGAGGAACCCGTAGCAAAGCTTCTTTTCATTATATATGTAGGAACACTGGGTGACCTTCACCTGCAAGCTGCAGCGAAGGGCATTTTTTTGGACTAGGCGGTTCAACTCGGGGGCTAGGTGGCATTTCTCCTGATAAATGCCATCCGTGAGGGTCACATCATAGGAGTAGGAGGAGCAGGCCGAGGCCGGCGTGGGGCAGGGAGGGCCACCGGCTGGGGTTTTGGAGGCTGGGCTGGAGATTGGGGTCTCCGCCAAGTATCTTTCCAGCAGCAGCACCGTCACGGGCGGGGGGTCCCTCAGGGAAAGCCTGAGGTGGGAGGTGGCGAGCACTTCGTCAAACGTCCTCTGGATCCAGGAGTTCAGCTCGGGGGGCCCTGATCCACCGGGGATCTGGGTCCCCTCCTCTGGGATCCCGTTTTCTGGGGCGCCCTGTTCACCCTCACTCCCCAGCGTGGACGAGGCCCCCTCGGCCGCCCCAGCCTCTACCTCATCCCCCTCACTCGTGTCACCTTTCCTGGCTCTTGGGGACCCCCCGAACGCTGCCGCCCCCTCATTTCCCACGAGCCCCGAGGGGCCACTCGAGCCCCCTTGGTCTGGGGCCGCCTCCTCCTTTGCCTCCCTCACAACTCTCGGCTCTTCGTCCATATCCATATCCCCCCTTTTTTCTCTCTCTCTAACAAGGCCCCACCCAAGACCCCCGCAGGCTTCCCTCCCTGAGGGGAAAGTTGCTAGTCCCCCTCCTCCTCCCTCAGCTTCATCCGCGCTCCCCTCTTTTTCCCGGCGCCCCACTCCCGGCAGTGGCCTGTCGCTTCTTTCGGTCCACCGCCACGCTGTCGCTAACTTCGAACAGCTCCGCGAAGCGGAAAGAGTCAAACTGAAGGGGCGTTAAGGGCGCGAGGAGGCGCAGGGAGCGCCTCAGGAAAAAGGCGCGCACTGAACGTTTCCGAGGCCGCCGCCATGTTTGAGGGGGGGAAAAAAGGGAGGGAGGGGCGAGAGAAAGAAAAACTGTCGTTCTCCCTCGAACTGGCCAATGACCAGGCTGGATTAGGGACCAGTCTCCTGATATGAAGCCCAACGGAGGCGCTCCTTGAAGATAGGATGGGAGGAGCTTCCAGCACCGGCCAATGAGCGCGGAGAGGGTGTGGCTTACGTGACCGTCGGTCTCGGAGAGAGACCCACCGAATGGGTCCGTCGAGGTGGAGTGAGCATGTGGTGGGGTTTTTGTGGCGCTTTCTAGAGTTTGAGGGGAAAATAATATTTTTTTTCTGGATTACAGTGCCCAGTGTGGCACTGACGGTAGAAAAACGGATGCTGGGAGCAGGAGTCCAATTAGGAACTTGCCCAAGCTGAACATCATCATCATCATCATCATCATCATCATCATCATCATCATCATATTATAACAACAACAACAACAACAACAACAACAACAACAACAACAACAACAATAATAATAATAATAATAATAATAATAATAATAATAATAATAATAATAATAAAAGAAGCCCTATGAGTCAGGTCCAGCCCCTTTCAAGGAGGTCCAGGGGAATCGAACTCCCAACCTCTTATCTATCCAGCGGTTTATGATTAATACATTGCAGATAAATATTCTGGGGGAATTGAACTCCCAACCTCTTATCTACCCAGCAGTTTATGATTAATACATTGCAGATAAATATGAGTGAATCGCACATTTATGGTCCTGGCAGGCTGTTCGGTGGTGGAGAACTGGCTTCCTCAGATGCCTTTTCCTTTGGGGAAATGTTTCCCTCACCCTAAGGTGGCTCGGGAGACGTTGGAAAGGAAGAGGGCGGTTGGAGGTTTTATCCAGCCCGATTCTTGTTAAAAACATCACAATAGTTTTCTATTGGCCCTGCTGGCTGTGGCAGATGGGAATTGTAGGCCGCATATCTGGAGGGCTATCAGGAGGTGACAGGAGGGCTTTGAGGAAGAGTTCTGTTTTCCCGGCTAATGGAAAAGTTACTTGGGGAGGGAGGGCTGCTTAAGGCCCCGTGGGTCCCCTGCCTAGGGGATTCTGGGAACTGTAGTCCAAAATAGGAACATTCCTGAGTTCTGTGATCTGAACTTCTTAGTGTGTGGAAGCAGGTGTGCACCGGCTCATAAAGTTGTGTGAGGACTCCTTGTGAGGAATCGAACGCGTGCCTTCAAAGGCACAGCCCAGGGGAAGAAACAAATCTGGGGTCAAGCCAAAACTCAAGACGCAGCCTCCTGATGGCCGATATCAAAAGTAAAACCTTCCCATTTTCGAGAAATTGCTCAAAACAGAATTATAGAAGGCAGCCTTAGAGAACATCAAATCCTCAATGGATGTTAATCTCCACAGCTGAATTTTAGGTTTTTCAGAGATTCCATTAGTTTGTTAACAGCACCATTTTGATTATGTTGTTATGGGAATGAAAATTCCTTTCGATGTAATGGTTTTAGTAATTTGAGCTCACAGGTGACTGATTGGACTATTGGAATGCAATTGAAACCGTTGACTAGACTGGAAGATCAACCTTTGAGTCCCCACCAAACTATGAAATTCACCATGTGATTGTCAGCCAATCATTCATTCTTAGCCTGAACCTTACAAGTTTGTTGTGAAAATGAAGTGAAGAAAATGAACTGGGGAGGAGAGCTATGCCTTGGGCTCATTCAAGGAAAGGCAAGAATATCAATCTAACTATCAATGACAAGAACAAAACCAGCTGTTAATGCACAAAGGACTGCTGTCAGAGAAAATATGACATTATTGATGCTTGTTTCCTCATCATGACCTTGCTGCTTTTTGTTAACAGGGCCTTGATAATATAAGAAACCATAAATAATGCTAAAATGGTGATCACCTAGAAAGCACACTTTGTTGCTTTGATATGTAGCATGCAGTGAGAATAACCCTTTAAACAAGGTGGGAGGATATCTGTAGGAAATCTATCACTTTTGTTAGGAGAAAGTTTGATTTATGGCTTAGTTTCCAGAATATGGAGAGAATGGTTTCTTCTTTATAGATTGTACGTTTGCTCATGTTCCATTTAACTTAAATAAAGTTGTCTAAGTGTAGCATCTGAGCTTGTAAACTAACCCTTGTGATATTTCTCAGAGAAGCAATTTTAGTGTCAAGCGATTTTTCTCATAGAAATAGGTCCAGCAAGCAGGAACATCAAATTAAAACGCCAAGTTTCATCTAGGAATCACAAAAGATGGGCAATGCTTCTAAACTGTATTCCATGTGTTCTGTATAACTGCAGTTATAAAATGGGCATACAGTGGTGCCTTGACTTATGAACTTAATTGGTTCCGGATCTCCAGTCATAACTTGAAATGTTTGTAAGTCGAAGCACCATTTCCCATTGAAATGCAATTAATCCGGTCCTGCTGAAGAAAAAAATCACACACAAAAAAAACCCCAGTGCAAGACCCATCAGAAACACGATTAATCCATTCTGCCCGGGGGGGGGGAGCAAGCAAAGTGTTCAACACCCATTGGAAATGCAAAAAAAGCAAAGCAGAAAGCAAGCAAAGCGTGCAAGACCCATTGGAAATGCAAAAAAGCAAATCAGAAAGCACGTGAAGCATGCAAGACCCATCGGAAATGCAAAAAAAGCCAAGCAGAAAGCAAGCGAAGAGTGCAAGACCCATCGGAAATGGGGGAAAAAAACAAGAAGCAAACAAACCCCCCAAGACCCATTTGAAATGGGGGAAACCTCAAAAAGCAAGGAAAACCCCCAAGACCCATCAGAAATGGGAAAAAGCAAACAAACCCTCCAAGACCCATCAGAAACGGGGGGGAAATACCAAAAAAAACCAAACCCCCCATGACACAGCACAGAAATGTAACCCCCTCCCAGCCCAAAACCACACTGCAAAAGCCACCCAGAACAGTTTTTAAAAAGCAGAAGGCAGCACCTTACCTTACCAGGCAGTCCGAAGCCTCCTCCAATCGCACTCACTCTGACTGTTGGGGTGAAAGAGCTACAAAGAAGCAGTCTCTTTGCCTACCAACAGTTAGCAATTTAAATTCCCTGCCTTTTTTCGGTTGTAACTCAAAGCTCCGGCTGCAAGTTGGTCGTAACCCAAAATGATAGCAAGCCAGGACATTCGTAAGTCGAGGCACCACTGTAATGCCTTCTTTTATTACTGTATCTGTATTCCATTGAATGTTTTTCTTTCTTTTTTTTTTTGGCCACAGCCATGAACACAATATAAAATAAATATAAGCCAAATCAGGATTATATACCGCTTAGTCACATAATGAACCTTATAAAGTGGTGTGTGAAGAACTGTTTTCAGTCTGTGCCCCCTTCAAATGTACCAGAGCCCCCCACGGGCCATGTGGTCCCTGTTGAGAATGGCTGTTTTCAAAAATACTACCTTTTTGCATATATAAAGTTTGAAGATGCAAAAAATGGCAGTACATTTCTATATGTGTACTTGGAAGTAAGCCCCACTGAGTTTAGTGGGACTTACCGCCAGCTAAGTCTGTATAACTTTGTGCCTTTCAGATGAGTAGGACTACAACTTCCATCATCCTTAGCCATCACAGTTGGAGGTAATCTGGAGGTCATCAAGCGGGGAAGACTGGAATATAGGATTGCAGTTTAAGTAAATAATGTGATGTGCTTCAGCACAGAAAGAAATATTTGATAAAAAAATGCAAATGAGATTTGAGAAATCAGATAAATGTCCACATCACCTTTTAAACACTGTTTTATTTGGAAATCTCTGCTTTTCAATTAGAAACAAACCTGCCTGCCTCTATGGAACTTGTGTATCTCTGCATTGTATATTCTTTTTGTAATTTTTGACATCATTGTAAGGTAATATAATGAGAACAAATGTTCAATCCATTTTTTTCTCCAGAATAATGGCTTGATCTTTGTTTTTTCAAATATATGGATTGGAAATTAAAGACTATGTAAAATAAAATTAAAAATACCAATGACATGTTGTGCATATATTTTATTGTTCCCAGTTTTTAAATTCACAAGTTTGGGTACAGCAACGTAACTTGCAAAATAATGTTAAGTGCATAGTTTATTGCCTTCATTACTTTTACACAACATGAAACTACAAATATGGGAGTTCCTGTAACAGAAAGCACAGCAGTACTATAGATCTTTCTTAGTAATTATTTTCTTCCCAGAACATTTTATTCAGAGTAAAATCATTGTTCAATGAAATGCATCACCAACAAAATAGCAGGAGAGAAGAAACCAACAAGAAGGGATAGAACTTTTAAGTTAACCTGAACATGGAAGAGAATGTTGTTTTTCCTTTCCTATTCTTTTGCCCGTTTGTAAGAGAGAACTGCTGAAACATAAGGGGTATGTGTCAATGTAAGAAGGGGACATGAATCCCTCATGTTTCCCTTTAGCCTTTCTGTATTCTTTCATCCTGCCCAATCACCCAGGAAACATTTAATATAAACAGTGGTACAAGGGCTGCTGATTGCGGCCAATCAAAATATTTATACTCTGGCTTAAAACTGTGAAGGGAGGTTTAAACCCCTTCTACTCTGACCTCTTGATCCTCTTCCCTGTGCTCACCACCTGGAGCTACATGTGAAGGAGATACCAATTGGACGTTGGTTTAAATTTGAGCACCTCATGCTGTGTTCCAGAGTATTTCCCCTTATAGCAGCTATTTTATACACAGAGGTATAGAACACTAGCGGTTTGAAAGCATGCAAAATGCAAAAAAGATAAATAGGCGCCACCTCGGTGGGAAGGTAACCGCATTCTGTGTCTAGTCGTGCTGGCCACGTGACCAGGGAAGATTGTCTTCAGACAAACGCTGGCTCTGTGGGTTGGAAACGGAGATGAGCACCGCCCCCTAGAGTCAGACACGACTGGACAAATTGTCAAGGGGAACCTTTACCTTATGAATTATTTATATTTACAAAACTTGAAAACCTTGCATTTTGTGACTGCCAAATGAGAAGGTAAGATTCGAAGAATCAGAAAGAGCTAGTTTCTTTTATACGTGATGAAAACACCAATGAATGGAACACCCAAAAATGAAAGAGGCAAAAACAATGCAAAATTGATTAAACCCCCAAGTGTTCCCTGTGCATATCCTTAACGACAACTTCCTTTAAAAAAATAAGACCAGTATGCTCTTGAGAATTTCCATTTGGACAAGTAACATTGTACATACAGTTGTAAGGAACTGCTGAATAACTTGGTGGTTTAGATGTCTGCGGTTGGGAGGTCAATTCCCTCCTTGAGAGGGGCTAGACTTGATGATCCAGAGAGTCCCTTCCAGCATTGCAGTTCTACGATCATTTAAGAAGGTACGATTTTGTAAGGTAGCTAGTTGCATAACGAATACCCCTTCCAATAGCAAAATGCTTCTGCCACATTAGTTGTGGAAATTCCCAATTAGATCCTGGCTTAAAGATTTATTTACTTAACATATTTTCCACTGTTAGTTTTTTTTCTTTGTCAGTCTCCGAAAGTTTCCCATAGTTAATGTAATCTAAACCATCAGTTTCTCCTTAATCACAATTCCAATAGCAAAATGCTTCTGCCACATTAGTTGTGGAAATTCCCAATTAGATCCTGGCTTAAAGATTTATTTACTTAACATATTTTCCACTGTTAGTTTTTTTTCTTTGTCAGTCTCCGAAAGTTTCCCATAGTTAATGTAATCTAAACCATCAGTTTCTCCTTAATCACAACATTCTCAATTCCTGTATGCATTTTAAGTACCTTCTATGCCCAGCTACAGTTATCATCTAACCATTTTCTTTCTTTCTTGCATCATTTACTTTTCTGTTTTCTTCTCATCAGTGACATTTCACCTCCTCCTGAACTATTTCTCTAAACATTTCAATCTTTCCTCTCTACCTACTCATTTTGATTTCCCCTGCATGGGAATGATGTGACTATTACCTAGTAAGAAACATGTTATTTTGACCTTTTAAAGAATATAAAGAAACCCTAAGTTTCCATTGTTCCAGTGACTACCGGAAACCTGTCCATGTTGTCATCTGGCATCTATTCTGCTTCCTTGTTCCACAGTGCGATGTTACAGCTCCCAGTTCTATGGCTGTCACCTTTTGGGTAAACCAGCTACTGCTGCCATTCCAACCTTCAGTCACAATAGTGTTTGCTAATCAAGGACAGGGAATCAAACAGTGCTCAGATGTATGGGATCTATTCTGCTTCCTTGTTCTGTAGTGCGATGTTACAGCTCCCAGTTCTATGGCTGTCACCTTTTGGGTAAACCAGCTACTGCTGCCATTCCAACCTTCAGTCACAATAGTGTTTGCTAATCATGGACAGGCAATCAGACAGTGCTCAGATGTATGGGATACATCAATACCACTGCCATCATAGTATGCCAACACATTCATATCTATTCCTGAAAAACATTTTCTGAATAGCTGCTATTTAATTCAAGTAGTATAGTTCACATACACTGACGTTAATATGCATGGGGCCCTAAAGCAATTTAACCAAGGTGTCAACATCTTCCATCCTACAGCAGTATTGTCATCCATTCCACACAACACACTAACTTTCTATAATGATGTTACATAAACAACATGTAAAGACTACATTAGATGGGAACCTGTTAGCTATTGTTACCTGTGCCACCAGCAACTAACATGATAAAAGACCCATAGGTTAAAGCCAGGATGCAAGATACAACTGTACCTATTCTGTTAATACAAGCATTTTGCACTTTCTATGCCTCCCACGTGGGTTTTTTTCAGTTCTTAACTCAAATCTAAGTACTTAAGTCAAGTCAATATTTTCCTATGAGAGCGGTTCTTAAGTCAAAATGTTCTTAACTCAAGCCGTTCTTAAGTCAAGACCCCACTGTAACATGATAAAAGATCCATAGGTTAAAGCCAGGATGCGACATACAACTGTACCTATTCTGTTAATACAAGAGATCTTGCCAAATGGGTAGATAATCTTGACTTCCAACTTTGTGACCAATAGTGGATAAACAAATTGCACGAGCTAGAATATGGAATATGAAACAGGTGAACAAGAACTAATACAAAAAAAATTGTAAACACATAAACCAGAGTTTCAGGAAGCAGAGACTTTGAGAACCACATAGTAAAACTTGTTAAGAAAAAATTTGAACGTTCTGTCACTTAAAGATTAATATTCTGCTAAGGAACACCTTTTCATAATCAAAAAAATATACTGTCTTTCATAACTTGCAGTTCCAATGAAGTTAACTATATATTTCAAAGCTCTTGTTTAAAACAAAATAAATTACTCTTTGAGACAAAGATCCAAGTCACCAAATTTCTGGAGGCCCAGAAGTTTACCTGACCAAGGATTTCCAATCTTAGTTCTGTAAATGTGAGGAATTCATGGCCTGTCCTTGTGTTTCTCTACATACAGCTATTACAGACAATATCACAAGCTGCCTTCTACGTTTAGACCACTGGCTCCAATAACTTCTCTTTTGATATGTTTCATGTTAAAATATAATATTGCAATTTTTAAATACTGTCTTTAATATGATCCCCACCCACCCCTTAACCATGGCTCCCAAACATAGACTATGATGTATCTCTTTTGGATAAAAAAGACTTTTAAAATTGAGTTTCTTATTACAGTATTCTATAATCATACTATATAGTATTTTAATAGTGCTTTACATTTTCCAAAGCATTATAAAACTTTATTGCATCTCTGATTGTACATGTAAACTTAAAAGCTCAACCCTAGTTTCGCCCAAAGAAATAAGCCCCTGAGAATAAAATTTCATGGTGGAAAAAACCAATCCAAACAAAAAACACCACTGTGTAAATGATCTATTGTTCGGATGTAATGAATTAGAAATGCTAAAAATGAGCTGTCTTTTTTAAAAACAAAATTATTATTTGGTTCTGTCCATTAAGAAATTCTCATGTGTTAAGCCAAGTTGAAATTAATGGGCATCATCCTCATTTTAATGAAATGTTCCCACTGATGTCTAACCTTTTTTCCCCTTTGTGCTGTTTCTACCACTGTTTTTGAAATACATCTGTTAAACTTGATAACAGAGTATATGACATATATCTAAAGAGAGGTATTGGGCTGAAATTGGAAGATGAAAGAGTTGTAAAACAAAGTGAAAAACAAACCACAACAACCTAGGAAGAACATGAAGCCTCTACTTGCAGACATCCATGCCATCTGACTATTAAAGGCTTGTTGGGTCAGTAAGATTTGCAGGAGCAGTTTAAAAAACATTCTACACCGAAGATATATTGCTATTTAAAAATATAATTAGAAAGACATTCTTATGCTGATATACTATTCTTGGTATACTTGGTTTAAAAACTTGTTAAAATTTTATGTGTGTGTTGCCAAGGATGCTACAATTTCCAAATGGCTGTAGATGCGGACCACTGGGACGTTCTCCTGCAGATGCTGTATTTGAAAACAAACAGAAAGCTTCACAAGGCCATTAAATGCTTTTGCTAAAAGGAAATGTCATTGCAACTTATTTGTTCCGAGATGACGACAAGCACGTTTGTGTTAGCAAGAATGGCAAACCAAACCAAAACTAAGTTAGTACATTTCCAGCTTGTGGCAAGATATATACGTACTGAATATGGCTACCTGTACACAGCTGTTGTCCAAAGTAAACCAACCAACCAACCTAGAACTTTTAAGAAAATAACATTACAATATCTGTGCAAAAATCATACCTGTGCATACTTCGTAGTAAACAGAGCTTGCTAACTTGGCCACAATTGTCACGGAGCTGTACTTTGCTCAATTGCATATTTGCCCTTAATTAAAAAAAATACCTCTCTAGAATTATTGAACGGCAGAGTTTAAACAGCAGACAATATACATGTGCAGTAGGTGTACAGGGAAACGAATCAGTCCCAGTGCTGAAGGACAGCAGCAAGCCGAGAACCCCTCTTTTTTTTTGTCCTCGTGCAGGAAAAGGTGCAAATTTGTGTAACCACCCTGAATTTGCACAACTCCTATCCAGTAGGAAAATTCAGATGACGTTTCATTCTGTTTTACCAGTTGAACAGTACGTTTTGGCCAAGTGTCATAAAGTAAATTTGACTGCTGCCTCCAGACTGAACAGATGCAAAAAATACCTAGAAAAGAGAGAGCTAACGTTATTTTACATTTATATGAACAGTTTAGTCATGCCCTGGAATGTGATATATAGATCCGCATATATAAATGTGAATTCTACTTTGAATCAGTGAGGTGTGTGTTTTCACTCTTAGAGAAAGATAAAGTGTCAACGAGCGGAGACTGAATAAACTGACATTTCTTCATTTCTACTGAGCCAGTGTGGTATAGTAGCTTGGAGTGTCAGATTGGATTTTAGGAGTGGCGGGTTCATAAAACTCACTGGGTATCCTTTAGCCTGTCACTCTTTTCTCAGACTGACCTCCCTTCCTCGCAGGGTTGCTAAGAGGAAAATTTGCAGAGGAGATGAAGAAGAATCATGTACGCTGCCTCAGACTCACTGGAGGAAAGGCAGGATATGGAAATGACTAACGCATACATAAACAGATTCTAAAACAGATCTGTTATTAAAAGGTATACTGCTGCTGCTTTTATACTGAGTGCTGGCATCTAAGGATTGATTGCAGCTAATTGCCAACTCTATGCATAACCTCCACTAATTTGTTTACTCTCTTTTACAGCCGTTAAAGCTAACGACCACAACCACGTCTCACTGTAGTAAATTTCAATGTTAATTACATAAAAGTGCTTATCTTGCCACCCTTGAACCAAGCTTGGGAAGATACTGTACTTTTCAATTCATTCCTGTTAATTGTCACAATATTTAAATGGTCATGCGCACAGAGGTTGAGCAGATAATTTTTTCAAATAAAACATCCGGATTCGGATAGCTAGCAGTCACACTAGTTTTAGGTTTCTGAAAGTTCTAGTCCGAGAAGATAACTTTCCCTGCCTCTGCATTTGTTATTGTTATTTATTGTTGCAATCAACATTCCCTCTAAGCTGCATTTGGAGCTGTGCAGTTGAGCCAGTGTGGCCGCCCATTTGCTTCCGGTTGTGACTGGAGCCCTACGTACACAGGGCAAGCTCCTGTCCAGCACTCCAGAAAATTAGCAGGAACGTTGGCTGCAGTGCTTGAAAAGAAACTTTTTTGAAACTAGTGAGAAGGATGTCAGCCCACTGGAAATTGAGTCATGGCAACTGGACTTCCTTCTTGTTAAGTTGAAATGTTTTGCTACTCATCCAGGTAGCTTCAATCTAAGGAGAGTTGGTAGGAGACCGCTGATATTTCCTCCATGTTGGTTTCACTCCCTCTGGTCTGAATAGGCTCCTTAGATGGATAAAGAATGGAGAGGGGAGAGTGAAAATCCCACCTCTGCAGACCTTCTCCAGGCGTTAACAGAGATCTCTCTGGTGGGTGTGGTCCTGGATCTTTCTGGGGACACATGAAAGGGCAGCATGATAAATATGGGACAGATTGTCTCTATGGCCTCCACCCCTGTTGAGCGAGGGTTTTTCTATACACGCGTGTATGGGCTCCCTGACCTCTCTCTCAAACTCCTGTTGAGCGAGGGTTTTTCTATACACACATGTATGGGCTCCCTGACATATCTTCTCCGTCCAAAATGAGTACCTCTTGGTCATCAAATGAGTGTCCTTTGTTCTTCAAATGAAAGAACTGCTGATTGTGGCGCTGAGCCATTGCTCCTCATGTGCAGGGCCATTCTCCTGTTTAGTGGTTGTTTGGTTTCTCCGCTGTAGAGCTATGAACACTCCTCTTTGCATCCGACCACATATATTATATTGTACCTGTTGTGTTTTGGTGTCCGGTCTTAGACACAATCTGTCTCCTATTTATCATGCTGCCCTTTCATACGTCCCCAGAAAGATCAGGACCACACTCACCAGAAAGACCATTGTTAACAACCAATGACAATGGGTAGAAAAGGAATGCAGAAGTGGGATTTTCACTTCCCCCCCTCCCCATTCTTTGTCCCTCTGACAAGCCTATTCAGAGCAAGGGGAAGTGAAACCAACATGGCAGATATTTCAGGGGTCTCCTACCAACCAGACAAAAGAAGCTACTTGGATGTGTAGCGAAACGTTTCACCCTAATAATAAAGAAATCCAGTTGCCATGACTCAACTTCCAGATAATCTCACCTGGGTGACAGAGAATCTTCACAGACATATTGGCAGCCCACTGTTCTCCTAACCTTCTTCAACCTAACATAGAGTCTCAACTCTTCTTTCTCTGCGAGAAAAGTGTGTGGCCTCGCTCTGCTGAGGAGTTTTGCACACGTACCTTATCATTCCTTTCACAAAGGAATTTCAGCTTCTGTGCCTTTTTGTGCATAAATACTCCTTCCAGGCTTCCTGTCTCCACAGCACGCAGTTCAATGGCTTTCTCTCCCCAACCCATGACTTGATTTGACTGAAGATAAGCTTTTAAAAAAATATATGCAAGAGTTACATGGTGTGAGTGATGATGGGTAAGTGGGGTAAAAGCACTGAACAAGTAGAGCCCTTCCACGTTGGGTGGACATTGTTGAACGCATGTAATGGAATTTACTTAACAATAACGAAAGCAACAACAACTTCATGCTTTATTTCTCCAAGAGTAATTGTAGTGGAATTATCACAGTAAAATTTTGGCTGGTCTGAACCATTTCTAAGAGCAGGTTAGGACTCACATGACTAATGCTCCTCTTTGTGGAAGGGAGGAAACAAGTCGAAAAATGTCATGTGAAGGCTACCCTGGAACTTTTCACCCTATCATCTACTCTTCTATGTGGAGGGATAAGTTTTTTGTTTCTGCAGAGGGGACATTAAATCACATGAGCCCCTCCTTGTCGTCAAATTTACCCCCTCCATCAGAGGTGAACTACTTCCTCGAGATACTGCACAAATCTGGCAGGCTTGACTCAGCTTTTTGAAGGCCCATGAAAAAGCCAACTGGAGTGCAACCCACCAGGGATTTTGCTTAGTCAGGTACCAAAATTCAGAGAGTACCAAGATCCTTCTCGGGGCATCTATTCATTTCTTCCCACGAGTCATGCTGCCTTCATTAAACCTCACCCCCCCACCCACACACACACTTTTCTAGGAACCAGATAGCTGGGTCCCATCTGTCTACATCTCTGTCCCCCCCAACGTGCACCTCCTACATCTTCATTTTTTCTATCCTCCCTCCATTGCTGCCCTTGAGGTCATCATGGCGGTAGGAGGTGGAGGATGAGCGCTGGAGAACAGATGATTGCAGAGCCCTACCGTGTGGCCAGGGAAAGAGCAGTGAGCCAACGCTTGCTTGCTTGCCTGCCCGCTTCCTGGGCGGACACTGCACTGAGCAGAAAGGGCACTTGGTGAAGGTGAACAAGGTGATACAGTAGCTGGAGACACCGTGTGTATGTGCTGGATGTGTTTCACACTCCTTGTTGTTGGTGTCCAAATTCTTAGTTATAGCTCCACAGGTACCTTTGACTAGATATTGTCATACTGGGGAAACCTTAGCTTCCACATGTAATCTGCTATAGGCCCCCAATCTGGATCAGGGTGTTCCCTATGCCACCTCCTCCCTTCCTGAAACACGTCCTCCTTCCCCAAAATTTGTCCTCTAGGCCTGCTCTGTAAGAACAACAATGTGGCGTAGAACTGAGTATAATAGGAATGGAAAAGGATTTTGTCGAATTCAGTAGTAGAGTTTTCACATGTCCCAAGGCTTGTTAATGGGAAAACCATTGTTTTGTTTTTCATATTTATTGGCATACTTTTTTTGGCTAGGAGTGTTACAAATTCAGTCTCTGCAGCTTGTAACAGTCTTATTGGTATCCCATCTACTTCTAGTGATTTATTTCTCTGGCCATATTAATATAATCATGCCTGGCTCTGTCGCTCCAGCTACTCTTTTGAATGTCCAGGAGACAAACAGGCTTTGAGTGTCTTGGATTCAGCAAAATTAAGGAATAAAAACCTCTTTGGTGATGAGAAACTTGTACATTTTTCCAGCCATTATGCCCAAGTGAATATTCTTACTTGTAAAATATTCCTTTAAATTTTTTCCCCCTTTGAAACATTTTGGGAATAGAACGTCTCCTCCTTTCCCCACTCCCACACTTTGTGGTGTTTCATGGTGCAGCGGTTGAACTGCAGAACTGCAGCCAAAACTCTGTTCTTAATCCGGGTTCAATCCCAGGTAGTTGGCTTGCCCAAAACTCTGTTCTTGATCCGGGTTCAATCCCAGGTAGTTGGCTTGAGGTTTACTCAGCCTTCCATCCTTGCAAGGTCAATAAACTGAGTACCCAGCTTGCAGGGCATGGGGGTGCAATCTGCAGCCTGCATAATTTAAACCGCCCAGAGAGTGCTTTAAGTGCTATGTAAATAAGCAGCATGCTTTGCTTTGCTTTACCTTCAAATACAGGCACCTTGGCTTTTCCTAAACACTTGTTACAGCTGTTCGATCCATTCTGTTGTCTTGGGCATGACTATGTGAATGTCACACCCAGCTTGCTGGGCATGGCGGTGCAATCTGCAGCCTGCATAATTTAAACCGCCCAGAGAGTGCTTTAAGTGCTATGTAAATAAGCAGCATGCTTTGCTTTGCTTTACCTTCAAATACAGGCACCTTGGCTTTTCCTAAACACTTGTTACAGCTGTTCGATCCATTCTGTTGTCTTGGGCATGACTATGTGAATGTCAATCAATTGCATCTCCCCAGTTTTTCTGTCCTTGTTGTTTCTTTTAAAGATTAGACATGCATCAGTAGCACTTTGGAGGCACTGTTGCGTTTTAATACAAAAATCAAACATTCTGCCCTTTTAGCAACAACTCGTTCCTCTCCTCATGACAGAAAAATATAGCCATCTCAGTGTCTTCCAGCACTTTCTGTGGAGTGCCGAAGCTCTCCACTGGATTTTTTTAAAAAAAATCAAGCTTCCAGGCAGGTTCAATATTCACAGCTGGATTTTATTTTCTCTCTCTGCTAAATCTGACTGGCTAATGATTCTTTTATCTTCAATAGTTTCACCCCATGCCATTAATGCTAGATTGTAGATACAAGAAGAACCCAGCATCACACATACAGTGTTAAACATTAATGTGGCATAGAGGAGCGTTGCCTTGACATGTGTTAATTATACCTCACAGCTCTTCTCTTTTTTTAAAAAAAAATTTGCTGAGAAGGGAAGGATCTACAAATGCTACGCCAAAGCAAAAGCAGCAGTATGGCATCGTGTCATGTTCTGTAAAGCATGGAACCATTTCTTTATTTTTTCTCTCTGAAGAGGCTGGTACACTCGTGTACTTTTGCCACTAGGCTTCCAAAAGTGGGGCCTGACAGGCAATGGTGCCAATCAAGCTTAGATGAGAGTTTAAGCACTTAAGCAAATATATTGCCAGCCGTCCAGAAATTTAATATATATATATATATTACTCTTCCCTTTTTTGGAGATGTCATCTCTCCAACCATCATTATGGCTGACTTTTGGCGAGGCCTTGCTGAATGGCACGGAAGAAGAGGACCCACAGCCCACACGATGATCTACTCCCCAAGTGTGGTCATTCCCTGTGTTCCTTGTGCCCTTCAAGAAGCAACACTGGAAAACGGATCACAGTGTGGAAGGCTTTCATTGCAGATTATCAACTTCATCTGCAAAATTAAATAAGTCAGGAATAAGAGGGTTGCTGGAGAATGGCACAGTTCCCTCTTGGGCCGTTCCCTCTTTTTCAGCCTGACCTACCTCACAAGGGAGTTAAGCTGGGAAGAGAACAGCCATGCACACTGCTTTGGGATCCTGGTAGCATAGATGAGGTAGCCATGTCATAAATAAGTTCAAGGACTTTTTTTGGCCTAGGCCCTAAACACAATATGAAAGAAATGTAGACCACATCAGGATTGTATTCGTGAAGGCTTTCATGGCCGGGATCTAATGGTTGTTGTGG